GTGTGGATGTGGGTGTGGGTGTGGGTGTGGGTGTGGGTGTGGGTGTGGGTGTGGGTGGATGTGGGTGGGTGTGGGTGTGGGTGTACCAAAGAGAAGATACCCACACTCACACCCACACCCACACTCACACCCACACCCATACCCACACCCCACACCCACCCACACCCACACACCCTAAAATCAGTGTAGAAAACTGAAAAAGTATCTGATTAAAAATCTAACTATACAGTTTGGGAAGAATTTTCTATTTGATTTGTAGACATCAAAAAATATTTATTTTTTCATCATTAGATCCGATCATTTGGTTCAAATAATTGTACATTGACATTATTTAATGCTGAAGATATTTGCAAATTATTAGTAGATCAATTAACTAATTTGAAAAAATTTTGGTTTACAATTCATGATTCCTATGGTGATTTCGATTGGAATCCATATTGTATTATTGATGGTGAAAATGAATCTACAAAACGCATTCTTAATCTTATCTATTTGTTTATTAATCATTTACAAGAATTGTTTTCGCTTAAAATATACTTTTGTCAATGGACTTCAAAGCATACACCTTGTTTTCCATATCGAATTCGACGAGAATTATATCATTGGTTAATTAATCGATCTTATCGATTACAATGTTCTTGCAATATGATTCAAATTTGGCTTTAATACGATGTTAATTGCGTTATGATAGACATTGATTAAATAAATAAATATATATATGTCCTAGGCAAAATTGATTTGTAGTTAGGCGTGAAATGAAGAAATTATTTTCATCTGAAAATGAATTCAAGTTTTCATTTTGATTAAGAAAACAACGCACTTAGTTTTTTAATTAAATACACTTATTATATATTCATTTTTCACCGATTTATACTCTTTGGAATTAACCCAACACTAGATTCTGCTTCGTCTTCAGTGCTTTTTTATCTACAGATTTGTAAATAAATCATAAAAATACCTCACGACAAATACGATCAATAACGTGCAATAAATAGTTGATAAGACTATAACTAGTTGCATTATTTTTACATTAATATCTTAAAATTCAACTGTGTGTGGTGAACTGTGGGATTGAGTATCGATGCCTTTTTAGCATAATGTCGTCTTGCACAATCAAAACTGTGTCTTCTCTTCATTAAATTCAACTAATCTAGAAATAGTCACACATGAGGAAATAAAAAAAAAAGAAGGTCAGTAGTTCAGGAAGATGTCATACAAACGAAGTATAACGGCTAATGATCATTATCTTGGATAAGAGAGATACTTATCTAGCAGATTTGTGGCAACCCATAAGCATCTTTACTATCTTCTGCTCGAAAAAAAAATCAGTAATGTGAATGAAATAGGTGATAAGTATTTAAATAGCTATGAAGATGTAGAAATAATTCTGCAAGATTGAATAGCCATTAAACACAATGTCTGGAAACTAGAACTAAGCAACTACTGAAAATCGTTCTCTTTGTTGTTACTTAAAGTTATTCATATGAGAAAATTGTGTCTCTTGAGAATGAACTACTTTTTAAAACAGACAAACCAACATATTCATTGTTTTGATCTATATGATTGTTATCTATTTATTAATGCAAGTGATTTCATTTTATTCTTATTGATATAAAGTAAATATTTTCAAATATACAATAATAAGTTAGATCTTATCAAAATATATTAAGCAAAAAAAAATCAAATCATTTTTACGAAATAATTCAAGATCAATTAGTTTTCTCAACTTTATCTGATGTGATATATATTGAGAATTTATAAATACTACTATATTGTATGATATATTCTAAAGTCTAGAAACAGAACAAAACAGTGTTTGATTCAGCATGTAAGAATCGAGATAGCAGCGTACCTTCCTACCATATACTATGCATTTGTGCTTGTATTCGTCCTTCCGGAAGAGAAAATCTCGATAAATGATTATAACTAAATATATTATGTCCAAGCAAAATGTATACGTAATTAACTTGAAACTTAATAATTCAATAATTTTAAATATTATAATTTATTATTGAATATATCATTTTATTTGTAAGGAAATCTTTTGAATTTAGATTTATGAAATCAATTAATCTACTATTGAGAATGATAATCGAGATTTTTTATTTCATATTAAAATAAGCTTACTAACTTAATTCATTTGATGTTTGAATTCAATAATAAATATGTTCATTTCAGTATATTGATTTACATTTTATTTCATTTCAACCATTTATTAGAATATATTGTGATTGATATCGATTATTAAGCAATAAAATTTCCAGTAATTATAGTTAGAAACTTACTATAATCGCTATATGTATATGTATATAATAAGAATTCCAATGGTAAATAGATTATCAACACAAATCGACGTCTCGTTTATAAATAAAATTTAAATTTTATTACATATTTAAGTTTTATCTAAATAAGTTCGACATCATATACAATAAACAAAATTTTGAATAAATATCAAATCGAGTTAGATGCTCTTTCTGGTTGAGAAAAAAGTTCAATAGTCTAATATAGAATCTTTGTATTGTAGCGAAACAACTGACAGCATTCTTTGTTTTTATAACTAATATGTCCTATGAAGATAGACCTCATTATATTTTTCCCAAGCTTCTATGAATCATCACTCTATTTTGAATCTTAAGGTTTTTTTTGTCAAAATATCTCGATTGCATAATTGATTTCATTTTAAAAATGAAACCAATTCTTTTTTTTTTAAGTGGTAGTCTTGTTAACATTAAAACGAACATTCAAGGTGACAGATTTGATCGGTTGAATGAATTGCATTATAGTATTTCTGATTTGTTTAGACGGGTAAAAATTGTTTGCGAATAAAGTTTCATAAGCCTGGAAAAGACTAGTTCCATTGTTGTTTAATTAACCATTCCATTTTTAGTCTTTCAAATAAATCAAAAAAAAAGAAAAGATTGAAATTGATTCATTAGTTTTCTACTAGAAGTAATTTTTACATCAAAACTTATTCTTTCTTTCATGTCAATCCACATCTCATTTGCTCATCTGTTCTCTAAGCATCATCAAGAAGAAATCTATCTTCATAAATATAAATCATGAAAGATTCGAAACGATAGAAATAATACTTTTAGCAACTAATAAAGAACAGGAAAGAGAAATGTCATGATGAGTATTATTGGAATACAATATAAAATTATCTGACATTTGAAAATGATTTACTATTGATACAATAGAATATCTTTCATATTGGAAAAATCTTTCTTGTTTTCTTAAGATATATATATATATAGGGTGTGGGTGTGTGGATGTGGATGTGGATGTGACTGTAAATACCGGTTGATTGATATAACACCCACACCCACACCATTAAGTTTTCACTATAATTTATTCTCACTAAGACATATCTTTATAGACACATTCACATTTCCCCTAACATTTTTCAATCATTAATTTGATTTATCTGCTCTAATGGTGTCATATCACTCATTTATGTAACTTTAAAATTCCTTGTCTTTTTAAACATCTATATTTTTATTTTATCTAAACAAGTCGAATAATTCTAAATGATTATCATGAATTTTTAATTCATAATCAAATAGTATTTATCGTCTTGATACATTTTTATATTTAATTATTTGAAATTAATTTTTCAAAATTCTTATATTATCATTTTATATGCCATTATTATAAAAACATCCTTAATGTGCTTTACTATGCAGAAGAAGCATGGTAGTAATCAATTTAAAGACAATTATGAATTATTACTTTTAGTTTCATTTCATGAAAGTGATCCATACCCATAACTTATTTGTTCTAATATATCAGTTGCAATTCATTTGTTTGTTTTTATGAATTGGAGAATTTCTTAGATTATCATCATTGTATCTATTAAGTTTATCAGAATAAATTGTTTGTGTTCGTATACAAGTAATGTTAACACTTGATGAATAAAAATTAAATAAACAATTATTAGTAAAATCTTTAGCATTAATTTTATAATAATTATCAACAACAAAAGAAAAACTAATGATAATAAATCAATTAAACACCTTTATGTACTTATACAATCTTTAATTAGTGAAATAAATTATTCAACAACAATAAAAATAGATGTTATTAAACAAAATTTTCATAATCTGAATTGTCATGGTGAACATTTTTATATTGAGTCGGAAAAAAGAAATTAATGGCCCTATGAATATAACAGTAAAAGTTTATGTACAAATGCTTCTCAAACTAACTTATAAAAAATTCTTAGCATTTACGATGTCATCACTATGTTTTGGATTTAATCTATTGAAAGAAAAATATCTGTTTTTCTGTGATATTGTTTATATATTAGTAATAGATGAGACTTCTAAATAATTCTAAATTTCGAAAGATATTTTGAAGTACAAAACTAGTCAGTGTACTCTACTTAAATACAAAGAAGAATTAGTTTTAATAACATAGATAAGAAGCAAAAGTTGTAGAATTGTAAAGGAAAGCGTTTAGATCACATTGACTAAATAGAACTAAAGAAAATAAAATGATACTTTTTTATATTATGAAATGACTAATGAAGAAAATAATTATATTTAGTTTTAAAGATATCTTCTGAGATATTTTCTATGGTGTTATTTATTTGCAACTCAAAAATAATTTTAAAAAATGAGAAATTTCAAGTTTACGAAATATTCTTCTAAGCAAATACAGAAATTGAAGAACAAGAATACAATACTACTATCAAACTTATGAACCCCATGCCAATATAGTTTCTTTAAATTGTGCAGAGATTGTTACCACTAACAAGTTGTTTTTAACTAGATAGAATGATTTTCTGACTTTGATGAATGTCTGATTTTCAGTTGTCTTACGATGAATAGCTTGTCTTGGTCTTAATTATATCCAATATTGCTACATTATATGAGATACAGCAACTCGTGATTGCTTCAATCTAGACCAATTTTCTCAATTGAAAACAATGTTACAATAAAAAAAAATCATTTTCTTATTGGAAAACAAATATATTTCTCTAAAGTATTCGAATGACGAATCAATGAAAATGACGAACAACTGACCAGAATGTTGGCGACCTCTCTTGGTGAAGAGAATATTTACCGTACTGGTAATTGGACCACAAAAATACCCATTATTACTCTGAGTGTATCAATTCATATTCATACATACAATCTCACCGCTCTTGGTGAAGTGAATAGCAAACACTAGTATTTGTCATTACCTGTCAAGAATGGGATCATTACTATGTTATAGCTACTCAGTTAGACAGATATATTGAGCTTTGATGTTTCCTTGAACAAAAATACCAACTTTTAGTAATTTTTATGGGTCTTCTTCAGTAAGTTCAAAAAATGCACAAAAAATTATGTTTTTGTTGATTTTTTCTTGGTTTTTATTTGTTTTTTTCTGTGCAATTTCGTCACATTAATGCAGGAAAGTAGTTAAAAAATTATTTCAACCAAACAACGTCTATTGTACATCAAAAAGTTGAACTTTTGAGCCTCTATGAAATGAAAATTTTTTACCCGATTTTCTTTCATGTCTAATTAGATTTAGTTTGTCTTCCATGGCTCTCTATGTGGGAAGAGGATGGCTAGCTCCCCAAAATTTGAAAATCTGTTTTACTGTCTGGCAAACTTTTAAATATTGTCTGACATATTTTTCAAGAGAGGTTGTTCGGAAGACCTTCGCAAATTATCTCG